TAGACAGACAGACAGAGAGCTAGACAGACAGACAGACAGACATATATACAGACAGACAGATATACAGACATACATTTATTTAGATAGATAGATAGACAGACAGAGAGCTAGACAGACAGACAGACATATAGACAGACAGACAGACAGACAGATAGATAGATAGACAGACAGACAAACAAACAAAGAGACAGACAGACAGACTGAAGCTAAAATTAAAACCATTAAAAAATAATAATATTCTTTTACTTGAAATAAAATGAATGTTAATAGAAATCAAATTAAATATTTCAGCTTGTTGCCAAAGCAACATTTCTCATTTTAGTATAGGTTAATTTGTACAAAAAAAAAACTGAAATTAAAAATAACAACTATGTAGACATATATAAAATAAACTAAAAAAGTGCCTAAAAAATACAGCAAAATGACTAAAATATTAACTAAAATAAAAAGGAAAATATGATTAAAATATTAATAAAAACTATAATAGTGTCTCAATGATAGTAAAATAAACTGTTTCACAGTGATCATTTTAGCTTTGAAATGAAATACTATATAAATGACTATTACTAAAAATAGTAAGCAAGCCAGTATGCAAAATACAACTATAAATATTAAATGGAAGAATATTTGTCACATGACCTCATCATGTTGCATGTTTAATTCAACAAGTGCTGAATTAAATTGAGCTTTTTTAGTCAAATATATTTAAAGATGACTAACTTTTGAGAGTTCAGTCAACTAACAAGAAAAGAAAAATATGTTAAATTATTTAAAAATCGTCTGGTTCAAACATAGCATTGGAAATGTTCTGCTGGGTCCTGAACATTTGGGCGAATACAGAAGATCATCCTGTGCACATTGTGTGCAGTACATACTACAGACACAGCGGGAGTAGTATGATAGTTTGCTATTTGAAACAGCAGAGGGCAACACAGACCAGCTGATTTCTCTTATGGTTATGGTCTGGTGTTGTCATGGCAACACGTGGCTTGTGGGTGCAGTTAACCTGTGAGGCCCCCAGATAGAGATGGTCAATAAATGCAGCTGCTGAGTCTTCCAGCTGAAGTGTAAGTTTGATTTGGCTCTATAGGTTCATGTTGTGGTTAATGAAACGTTTGGGATGCCAATGTGGCTGTCTGGCTTTGTTTGATTTTCTCATGGTTTGCAGCAGCACGGTTCATAAACGCTTGATTGTATGTCACACTTGTAAAACTGACCTCTGACATCTGTAGGTCAAAGGTCAACAGGAGCTCGAAGCATCCTATGCACTTAAAGTGACCTCTTAGGTCGTCATGGGAACAGAGTATTGATCGATTGCTAGCAATGTAAATTAAGATGAGTCGAGGGCAAAAACGCTTTTTATGCTGTAGATTTCAACCTTTTTGTTTGGTTTGTTTGCTTGTGATGATTAGATTGAAATAATTCATGGTTTCATCCTCAAGGAACGAACGTTTTGCATTTTTATGGATATAAGTTTGAAACAGTTACACCTGTGTGCAGTATTTTCTAATAATTCAGCGGACCGGAGACAATTATTCTGCTTGTACTACAGTTACCACACCTAAAGATATCAATCAGATGTTGCATTTCAAGACAATCATCAGGTTTTTGTCCTTGTCAGAAGGATTAATTTCTTTCCCTATTTATCCAACGCCTCTGTTGCTCATTCCAAAACGTCATTTTAGACCTATTAACGGAGGCTTGAGCCTTTGATAGCAGAATAATGCAGTTATTAATGCAGTTATTGGAGAGAGAGAGAGAGAGAGAGAGAGAGGGTGTGTGAATTACCAGAGTAATTCTCTCAACAGGGTTCGGCAGCAGCGTCTCTACTAATAGTGAAACTTAAAGGGATAGTTCACCCAAAAACAAAAATTACCCCATGATTTACTCACCCTCAAGCTAGGTGTATATGACTTTCTTCTTTCAGACGAATACAATTAGAGTAAGACTAAAAATGTCCTGGCTCTTCCAAGCTTTATAACGGGAGTGGGCAGTGGTCCAGATTTTGAAGTAAAATAAAGTGCGTCCATCCATCATAAAAAAGTGCCTCACACGGCTCCGGGGGGTTAATAAAGACCGAATCAATGCGTATGTGTAAAAAAGCATCCATATTTAAAACTTTATAAACCGTATCTCTAGCTTCTGCTAACTGTCGTACGCTCGTTCACGAGAGAGCGGCGCACAGCGGATGGTGTGAGACATGGGCCTAGCGAAAGCTCCGGTGAGAGGTGACGAATGCGGAAGTGCTGAGGAGAGAGCAAAACAAAACACCGCTCCAGAATTAGAAGCACAAAATGAGGATTTGTAAAGAAAAAATGTGAGAGGATTTTGATATGTCAAGAGAAGACTGGTTTTACTTTTCTTATCGATGATACTAGAATTACACTGGAACAACCCCCTTACAGAAACCAAAAATTACAATTCTGTTATTATATATTCAGTATCTTGTTGTTTTTAAACAAATGAACACAAAATAACCTATCCATATAACATGCATTCATATTTTGCAACTTGAGTCATATATAGACTTCTTTATGGTCTCTTAATGGTCCTTCTTTGGAGTTTGACAGATCTTGGTCATTATATGCATCCATTGTCTGGACAGGAGAAGCTCTGAGATGCTTTAAAGGGGTCATGTTGCCTTGCCTTGCCTTGCCTTGCCTTGCCTTGCCTTGCCTTGCCTTGTCTTGCCTTGTCTTGCCAGCCTGTTTTTCCCCCTCGGGGTAGTTTTTGTTGTTTGTTTTGTTTTATTTTAAAATAAAGCCCATTTTTCTGCAATACTGAGTCCTCGCTCCATCCCTCTACCCGGATCCCTGACACGGCTGGGCTTGAGAACGGCGCGACAAGCGATTTCGACGAAGGAGCGTCCGGAAGGACATGTGACGACTCCGGGCTGGACTCCGCTTCGTCCACGGTGAAAGCCGATCTGGCGATCGACAGCGCAAAGTTGTAGTATTTCCTCAGCGACCAGCATGGATCAGCTCCAGGCATGACGAAGCAGATATCGTCCTCTTTTGGAAGACCAAACAAAGTAGTTTTGCTTTCACAATGAAGCACACAGCGTCTTTACGACATGGCGGCGGAAACAACAATACTACAGCGAGAATAAAAGTTACGCCTTCTTTCTTTGCGTGAACATTTGGGTGGCGTTATGCAAATCTTCCCCCATCGTGACGTAGATATGTGGGGGCGTGTTAGAACGAGCCGTTTTAGGTAGGCGTGGCTGACTCTTAACTTTTATAAAGAATATCTCTTTGGATTTGAGACTTTAGTCTTTGCAACTTTACAGCTCTTCTTTATGAACCAAGAGCTTGTATCACTCCAAAGAGAAAGGAAAAATTGAAATCACATCATATGACCCCTTTAAAACACTTTTGTTTTTAACAGGAAAGAGGAAAGAAGGTCATATGCTTGGAACCGCATAAGAAATGATCATAGAAATTACCTTTAAATTGCTTTGCTCAAGGGTGAAGTGGTAGAAGCTCATGCATCACCTGTTTTAAGGGTTTGAACCTAAAACCCCATCTAAATTTTTATCAGTCAACATTTTTTTTTATCATTATTTTTTATTGTGCACAAATCATTATATGAGACTCAATTTCTGAGCTGGAAATAATTGGTTTGACTCATTTTGTATGATTAATTCAGCGGAATCTCTTGTGTGAATCTGGTTCTATGTGCAGAGGTACTGGAGGAAATTAAATAAGGCAACAAAGTGAAGTGTTTCTGATCATTAGCGGACCATTTGCTTGGGGAAAAAAGTGTCTTGCCAGAGAACAAGTCAATTTGAAATTGTCCTCTATAACCAACCTCAGAGAATGATGATAATATATTGTCATGTATATTCAATATTCAGTTTATTTTACTATATTTATTGAATATATTTGGAATATTGCTTACTGCTTGCTGCTGTAGTTCTATACTGTTTCACAAATATTTTCACATGTTGGTTAATGAGCTAAACCTACTTAGGATAAAACCTGCAACCCTTTTTTTAAGCATCAGACATGTGTACCTGTCTCTGAGCCGTGATAGGCAAACTCCCATTGTCCCACCACGCATTCACAAACTGGGACTTGTAGTAGGATTTCTTCTCGCAGGTGCTGCTGTTAAACCACATGTTGTGAATGACGCCGTGATTCTCAGTGTATTTACCTGCAGACAGAGATTCTTTATCATCAGTCATATGCTTCATATGCTTCATATGTATCTATATATCATTATATAATTATATAGATTATACAAATTTGGATTTTCTTGTAATATGTACTTCAATCTTTTTATTTACAATTTACATATTCATTATTTTATTGTTTCATCTATTACATTTAATATATATATATATATATACACACACACACACACACACACACACATTATTATGCATGAATATTAAATGTATATATTAAATTGTAATCATATTTTAAATTGTATATATGGATTTTATGGATTATTTTAATTAATTTACCATTTAAATATATATTTCACATATTAAATATAAACAATAAAATATTTCATATATGAATAAATATTGAATATATATTAATTAATTTCCAGACATTCAAAACATTTTTGGCAAGCTGCATTTAAAATCTAAGGAACCATGAGTCTTGTTAAACTCTCTTTTTACTGGGGAATGCTTCTTCTGTGTGCATTGCTGACATCTATAAATGCATGTGTGAGATATTTTAGACAGCAGATAACAGCATCTTTACGTGTCAGGATGGTGAAGTGTGGCGGGCTGGTGGCAGTGAGGAATGCAGGTGTCACGTATGTGGCTTTGACCCCGTCCTTCGCCATGGCGTCCAGGTGCGGCCTGTCCACATCCCTGTCATAGTCCCACCTGAAGCCGTCAAAGGAGACGAGCAGCAGTTTGTCTGCACTCAGACGCCCGTGTGCTGGAACGTAACCCGCCAGAGACCGAACGCACAGACACAGACAGAGAGCGGTCGTCCACAGCATGATCCGATCACACATTCAGCACAAACAGCTGTCTCTCAATCAGTAGATCGCACCTGATTGCGTTTCTTTCTCCTCCTCTTTTACTCACGTCTGCAGGCCAAAGTTTCATCCGTTTTTCTTCTCTGCTCATATCTGCAGGATTTGGTTTTTACTTCCTATTCATCAAATAATCCTGAAAAATAAAATGTATCACGGCTTCCACAAAAATATGAAGCAGCACAACTGTTTTCAACATTGATAATAATCAGAAATGTTTCTTGAGCAGCAAATCAGCATATTAGAATGATTTCTGAAGGATCATGTGACACTGAAGACTGGAGTAATGATGCTGAAAATTCAGATTTGATCACAGGAATAAATTACATTTTAAAATATATTCACATAGAAAACAGCTATTTTAGATTGTAAAAATATTGCACCTTTTTTTACTATATTTTTGATCAAATAAATACAGCCTTGGTGAGCAGGAGAGACTTCTTTCAAAAACATTGACAAATCTTACCAACCCTAAATTTTATGTATGTTATCTGTTTAAATGCTGCAGGATATTTTTTGTCACTAGCTTTGCTTTTCTTTATCATTTCTGTCTCAGTGTCTTTAAATCAGCTTTGGTTTTGATGGTTTTAAGGGAATATTTGAAGTCAGTTCTCTTCAAATTCACAAAGGTGTCCTTTAAAACTTTAGTTTTTAAAACTAAAAACTCTGATTTGACTTTCATTATTGACCTCTTTAAACAGCCGGCTTATCAACATCTATCTGAAAGAGCGTTTTCTCCTGCAGTCTTTGTCCTTGACAGTAGTTCAGGGGAAATATCTAATCTATGTGAAGATAAAGAATTACATCTCTCAGCTTGCTTACAAAAAGCTAATTCATTACAGCTTTTTTAAAATAAACAACTTCAAACAATCACCTTAGTCCTGACAGCATTACCGTTACAACCTCTTACTCTTGACAGGATCACCATAACGTCCTCTTACTCCTGACAGCATCACCATAACAACCCCCTATTCCTGACAGCATTACTGTTACAACGTCTTACTCTTGACAGTGTCACCATAACAACACCTTACTCCTGACAGCATCACCATAACAACCCCCTATTCCTGACACCGTTACTGTTACAACCTGTTATTCCTGACAGCATCACCATAACAACCTCTTACCCTTGACAGCGTCACCATAACAACCCCTTATTCCTGACAGCATCAGCATAACAACCTCTTAATCCTGACAGGGTCACCATAACAACACCTTACTCCTGACAGCATCAGCATAACAACCTCTTAATCCTGACAGGGTCACCATAACAACTCTTACTCCTGACAGTGTCTGCGTCACCATAACAACCCTCTATTCCTGACAGCGTTACCGTTACAACCTCTTACACTTGACAGCATCACAGTAACAACCCCTTATTCCTGACAGCATCACCATAACAACGTCTTACTCTTGACAGCGTCACTGTAACAACACCTAACTCCTGGCAGCCTCACCATAACATCCCCTTATTCCTGACAGCATCACCATAACAACCTCTTATTCCTGACAGTGTCACCACAACAAGCCCTTACTCCTCACAGAGTCACCATCAAACAGCATCACTGTAACAATCTCTTACTCCTAATAGCATCACCATAACAACCCCTTACTCCTGACAGTATCACCACAGCAACCCCTTACTCCTCACAGTGTCACGATAAAACAGCGTCACTGTAACAACCTCCTACTCCTGACAGCATCACCATAACCACCAATGGGCAGTATTTCAAATACATGAATTGAAATACAAAATACTATTTTGTATTTAAATACATTTAATCTGAGTATTTTGTAGTTTATCTAAATACCTAAAATACTTTTTGCCAATCAACCTCTTTATTAGACTGCTGATTTCCTGTATCAACAAGTATACAAAAATGCTAAGATTAAATGTATTTAAATACAAAATACATTTGACTTTTTTCAAAGGTATTTAAATACAAAATAGTATTTGAAATACTGTCCATCTCTGACCATAACAACCCCTTACTCCTGACAATGTCACAATAACAACCTCTTACTCCTGACAGCATCACCGTAACAACAACTGTTTACTCCTGACAGCGTCACCATGACAACCCCTCACTCCTGATCCTGTCACCGACACTATGACACTCTTGACAGTGTCACCATGATGACTCCTCACTCTCAGCATCACCATGACAACCCCTTAATCCTGACAGTGTCACAACAACAACCCCTTATTCCAGACAGCTTCACCATAACAACCTCTTACACCTGACAGCATCACTGCAACCACCCATTACTCCTGACAGCGTCACCATAACAACTGCTCACTCCTGACAGCGTCACCATGACAACCCCTCACTCCTGATCCTGTCACCGACACTATGACACTCTTGACAGTGTCACCATGATGACTCCTCACTCTCAGCATCACCATGACAACCCCTTACTCCTGACAGCATCACTGTAACCACCCATTACTCTTGACAGCGTCACCATGACAACCCCTCACTCCTGATCCTGTCACCGACACTATGACACTCTTGACAGTGTCACCATGATGACTCCTCACTCTCAGCATCACCATGACAACCCCTTACTCCTGACAGCATCACTGTAACCACCCATTACTCTTGACAGCGTCACCATGACAACCCCTCACTCCTGATCCTGTCACCGACACTATGACACTCTTGACAGTGTCACCATGATGACTCCTCACTCTCAGCATCACCATGACAACCCCTTACTCCTGACAGCATCACTGTAACCACCCATTACTCTTGACAGCGTCACCATGACAACCCCTCACTCCTGATCCTGTCACCGACACTATGACACTCTTGACAGTGTCACCATGATGACTCCTCACTCTCAGCATCACCATGACAACCCCTTACTCCTGACAGCATCACTGTAACCACCCATTACTCTTGACAGCGTCACCATGACAACCCCTCACTCCTGATCCTGTCACCGACACTATGACACTCTTGACAGTGTCACCATGATGACTCCTCACTCTCAGCATCACCATGACAACCCCTTACTCCTGACAGCATCACTGTAACCACCCATTACTCTTGACAGCGTCACCATGACAACCCCTCACTCCTGATCCTGTCACCGACACTATGACACTCTTGACAGTGTCACCATGATGACTCCTCACTCTCAGCATCACCATGACAACCCCTTACTCCTGACAGCATCACTGTAACCACCCATTACTCTTGACAGCGTCACCATGACAACCCCTCACTCCTGATCCTGTCACCGACACTATGACACTCTTGACAGTGTCACCATGATGACTCCTCACTCTCAGCATCACCATGACAACCCCTTACTCCTGACAGCATCACTGTAACCACCCATTACTCTTGACAGCGTCACCATGACAACCCCTCACTCCTGATCCTGTCACCGACACTATGACACTCTTGACAGTGTCACCATGATGACTCCTCACTCTCAGCATCACCATGACAACCCCTTACTCCTGACAGCATCACTGTAACCACCCATTACTCTTGACAGCGTCACCATGACAACCCCTCACTCCTGATCCTGTCACCGACACTATGACACTCTTGACAGTGTCACCATGATGACTCCTCACTCTCAGCATCACCATGACAACCCCTTACTCCTGACAGCATCACTGTAACCACCCATTACTCTTGACAGCGTCACCATGACAACCCCTCACTCCTGATCCTGTCACCGACACTATGACACTCTTGACAGTGTCACCATGATGACTCCTCACTCTCAGCATCACCATGACAACCCCTTACTCCTGACAGCATCACTGTAACCACCCATTACTCTTGACAGCGTCACCATGACAACCCCTCACTCCTGATCCTGTCACCGACACTATGACACTCTTGACAGTGTCACCATGATGACTCCTCACTCTCAGCATCACCATGACAACCCCTTACTCCTGACAGCATCACTGTAACCACCCATTACTCTTGACAGCGTCACCATGACAACCCCTCACTCCTGATCCTGTCACCGACACTATGACACTCTTGACAGTGTCACCATGATGACTCCTCACTCTCAGCATCACCATGACAACCCCTTACTCCTGACAGCATCACTGTAACCACCCATTACTCTTGACAGCGTCACCATGACAACCCCTCACTCCTGATCCTGTCACCGACACTATGACACTCTTGACAGTGTCACCATGATGACTCCTCACTCTCAGCATCACCATGACAACCCCTTACTCCTGACAGCATCACTGTAACCACCCATTACTCTTGACAGCGTCACCATGACAACCCCTCACTCCTGATCCTGTCACCGACACTATGACACTCTTGACAGTGTCACCATGATGACTCCTCACTCTCAGCATCACCATGACAACCCCTTACTCCTGACAGCATCACTGTAACCACCCATTACTCTTGACAGCGTCACCATGACAACCCCTCACTCCTGATCCTGTCACCGACACTATGACACTCTTGACAGTGTCACCATGATGACTCCTCACTCTCAGCATCACCATGACAACCCCTTACTCCTGACAGCATCACTGTAACCACCCATTACTCTTGACAGCGTCACCATGACAACCCCTCACTCCTGATCCTGTCACCGACACTATGACACTCTTGACAGTGTCACCATGATGACTCCTCACTCTCAGCATCACCATGACAACCCCTTAATCCTGACAGTGTCACAACAACACCCCCTTATTCCAGACAGCTTCACCATAACAACCTCTTACACCTGACAGCATCACTGTAACCACCCATTACTCTTGACAGCGTCACCATGACAACCCCTCACTCCTGATCCTGTCACTATGATATTCTTGACAGTGTCACCATGATGACTCCTCACTTCTGTCAGCATCACCATGACAACCTCTTACCCCAGTTCTCCCGTCGTGATTCCATCACCATGACAACCCCTCAATCTTGACCCCGTCACCTTGGCAATCTCTTACCACTGCTCTCTCATCTTGACCTCTTAGAGTTTTATTTTTATTTTGACA